GCCACCAAGTCTGATGCCCTGAAGATTGATCCTCAAAACACACCTGGTAAAAAAAAAACATCAACTACTGCAAGTTGTCCTCTGACTTCAACATGTGTGTGTGTGTGTGTGTGTGTGTGTGTGTGTGTGTGTGTGTGTGTTTATATACATCATAATCAAAATATAACTGAACAAGAATGATGAAAAACAGGTGTGCCTAGAATTGGCCAAGCTTGGCTGTTGCTACTTAGGAGATGGCCACCCTGCTTTATGAGGCAAGGCTGCACTGGCCTGGAACTTCTTACTGAGGTGGTGAGGCTGGCTGGTGGGAGCTCAAAGGATCCCCTTGCCTCTGCCTCCCCAGTCGGGGAGTATGCCCCACACCTGGCTGAGACTCAGGTCCTTTTGACTTCGTGACAACCATTTTACCAAATGAGCTGTCTCTCCAGCTCAGTGGGACCTCTTTAAGGTCATTGGCTTCCAGCCATGGATGACAATGGGTCCCATACCTGTTATCTTGTGCTTGCAAGGCTGAGGCAGGACAGGTACAAACTCAAGTTCACCCAGGCCAGGTTGCTGCTTGGGCCCTTCTGATGTACAAAATCCACCACCCTACTAGGGAACCAGTCTTCCCCACCTGAAAAACTGTATCAGGGCCAATGAAAGGGCACAGCAGGTAAAGGTGCTTGCTGCCAAGCCTGGCAGCCTGAGTTTGCTGCCCAGAACCCATATGTAGAAGGAGAATATAAACTACCACAGTCGTTTTCTGACCACAGTGAGACACACATGCATGTAACTAAAACTAAAGGGAAAAAACACTATGGTTGAGTAGCTTGGATTAAGTCTCAGTGGCCTCAGAGCCTAGCTGGGCCCCTCTTGGTGCCCAAGCAAACTGTCTGGGTGTCTAGCCATATAATGAAGAACTCCCCACTGAGGACCACAGCAGGGCTGAAAGGCACTGTGGTCCTAAGTGCACTGCTACTGTCTGGCATCCTGGCCAGAAGAAGGAAGAGACGGGGTAGGATAGTGACACATGCCTGTCATTTCAGCCCTTGGGAGGTAGAGACAGGAGGATCAGGAGTTCAAGGCCATCCTTTTTAGTGAGTTTGAGGTCAGACTGGGCTATATAGTAAGACCTTATTTCAAAATTAAAAAAATACAAAACAAAACAAAACAAAACCCACAACAACAAACCCAAGATGGTTTGAAAGAGAAGGCTCGGGGCTGGACAGATGGCTCAGAGGTTAAGAGCACTGGCTGTTCTTCCAGAGATCCTGAGTTCAATTCCCAGCAACCACATGGTGGCTCACAACTATCTGTAATGAGATCTGGTGTCCTCTTCTGGTGTGTAGGCATACATGCAGGCAGAACAGTGTATACATAATAAATAAATCTTTTTAAAAGAAAGAAAGAAAGAAAGAAAGAAAGAAAGAAAGAAAGAAAGAAAGAAAGAAAGAAAGAAAGAAAGAAAGAGAGAGAGAAAGGCTCTGTGGATAAAAGCCCTTCCTCGGGAACCATGAGGACCTGTGTCTATGTGAGAAGCCATAGCTGTGAAGGTCTGTGACTGAGACAGGTGTCTCTCAGGAGCTCACCAAGCAGCCAGCCCAGCGGAGACTGCAAGCCTCCAGTGCAGAGAGCCTCTATCTCAGAGCAACAGAGTGGAGAGTCACAGAGGATGATATCCCACATTCTGCCCCGGCCTCCGCAGGAGCACCACTCACAATCAACTCCCCCAAAAGCTGGAGACTGGTCTGTTGGCATGCACCAATGGCCAGGACCCCTGCTAAGCTTGCAAAGCTCTGAACCAACACTTAAGAAAGCTGGGGCGGGAGAGACGGTTATGACCACTGGCTGTCCTTGCAGAGGATCTGGGTTCAAACCCCAGCACCTGGCCCAGTACTGCTGCCGGGGGATGAGCCACTTCCTTTCTGTGCTTTCACTGGATCTGGAGTGGGCACTCAACATACATAACAGCACTAGTGAGTTTGTACACCTGTACATTCCATGGAAACGCTCCTTGAGTTAACACATCATTGGTGCCAAGGACCACATATGTATTCAGATGGATGTGGCAGAGGCTGACAAGGTCACAGGAAGCTTTAATAGCCAGTTTAAAACTTATGCTATCTGCGGGGCCAATCACAGGATGGCTGAGTCAGGTCTGTCTACTCTATGATTGACTAAGGCTGATGGAATGTTCTCAAAGAACTTTTGACCAGAAGAAATTGGGGAATATGTGTCATAAAGAAAAGTGAGGGGTTAAAAAAAAAAAAAAAAAAAAAAAAAAATTCCACCAGAAAAAAAAAAAAAAAAAAAAAAAAGAATCTCTAGCACTTATAAGTCAGTGCCAGGGATTTTGCAGCCTCTTTTGGCCTCAGAGACCAGGCACATACTTAGTGCACTTCTATACTTGCAGGCAAAACACTCATACACATAAAATAAAAATAAATACATCTTAAAAAAAGAAAAGAAAGCTCTGTGTGATTTTCTGTGAAATAGGAAGGTGCTGCAGCAGGGCTATTTGGGAAAGAAAACAACACAAAGTAACCGGGAGGCGAGGAGGTAGGACGGCTCCTCACAAAACAGTGCTCTTTCTGAATGTCAAGTCTGGATTCCTGTCTGACTGTAAAACTAAGCTAAAATTTAGGGAAAAGAGACAGCTCAGTTTCCCATAAAATCATGTTTCTGTCTGAAGGCCTGCATACACACGCTGTGTCAAAAGTATCAACAATGCCTGGAAGGGCCACTCCAATGGTGGCCCAGGAATCCTTCCTTCCTTCCTTATGTTCAATTCAAGGTATCACTGTGTACAGCCCAGGCTGACCCTGTCTGTACTCACTCTGTAACCCAAGCAAGCCTTAAGCTTGTGATCCTCCTGCCTCAGCATCTCTGAATGCTGAGGACAGGCTTGTAGGTATCTACATTCCACACTCATGTCCCCCTTGAGAGCACCTGGGAACCACAAGGCAGCCAGGGGCTCTCAGAGCTTCTAGCCACTCTGTTTTGGGGGCATGTGGAGAACCGGCTGGTCTCAGCACTTGATGTTCAAGTCTTGTTTCCTCGAGGACTGCATCTATCTGCATGGTGCCCACAAGCCGTGGGTGTCCAATAAATATTAAATACAGTGATGATTCACCAGCAGGCAACGGGCTCTGAATGTGTAACCAGAGCACACTCAAAGGAGCACCAGGAGAGATCATGACACATTCAACTTCAAGATCCCTTGCCCAAGCAGAACCGAGGAGAGATGCACAAAGGGCCACTCCACTCTCCACACACAGAACAGACAACAGAAGTAAAACGTCCCCAGACAAAGGCAGCTGAGCCAGAAGTGCTCAGGGGACACCTGCAGCGTGAACCCTGCAACACCCCGTGACAAACAGTTGACAACCTTTCAAACTCTATCAACTTAGCAGACCACTAGAACTCACTAACCCACAAGCTAAGGAGAAGGTCATCAGACAGCACAGAGAAAAGCCACCAGCCACCTTGCTGTAGCCATTTCTCTGATGTACCCACCAACGTATTTTAAACTTGCTTTGGTTTATGAATTTCTTTGTTCTGTAAAACTATAAAACTTCATGCAACTGCTCCCATGTTGGAACATGGAACTTGGGGTATTACCTAAATCCATATTTCTAGGCCATGGTCACTCAAAACGACCAGATTCTATGAGAAGACTTGGGTTTCTACCAGCAAAGGCAAGGCTGGGACTGACCCTCATCAATTCCCGCTTCGCTCGCTCGCTGTCAGCAAACCCAGGTGGCCCTTCTTCACCAACAGCAAGTTTTGGCTTGTGTGATTGCTCCCTTTGGCCACCTCCCAACTGGACAATCAGCCCTCCTAAGCCGACGCTACATTGCTACTTCTCGTGATAACTTCCAGGGCAGGGGATGAGGCAATGGCTCGGCCAGCAAAGCACCTACTGTACAAGCAAAAGTACCTGAATCCAGGTCCCCCCGAGTCCCCAGAGACGTCAGGCAGCTCACTTGCATGCCCAGGTGCATAGTACACAATCAGGGGATCCCTGGAACTTATTCAGCCAACTGAATGGGCTAGGGGCTCATGAGAAACTGTGGCTCAATATGTAAGGTAGAGAGTGATCATGAAGACACTGTTATCAACCTCCATCTTCAGATATGCACAGACGTGCACATGCACGCACCACACATGTGCAAAGAAACAACATCAACAACACCCTAAAGTAGCAGTAACGGCAGAGTAAAGGAACCTGGGCATCCAAACACCCTCTACCCTCATCTCACTCCAGAACACCCACACCCACATGGGCAGCCCTTCCAGCCTTCCACAGTGGCTATCAGTTTCAACTTCTAATTTTCAATTTTAGAAATTATATTTGCTTAGTTTGTCGTGTGGGGGCCAGAGGGTTACACACAGGAGCCAGTTTTCCTCTCTGCCATGGGTACTGGGGATGGAACTCAGGTCATCAGGCTGGGCGGCAAGCAGCTTCTGAGTCCTCACTTCAATTTAAAGTCCTTCTCTCCCCCAGAGAGACTTCCCCGGAGACAGACTCTCTGTGACTCTTGGCATTATTTCTCCTCCCTGATGAGGAGCTCTCACATTCACCAACTTTACCCTACCCGATCCACAAAGAGAGTCCTGGGACAGAGGACAGTGTTAGCCAAAGGAAGCCTTTCACCTTAGAGAAGCATCTACCTTGACCTGTAACACCCTGTTCTGAATCCCAGGCTCATCCTTAGATGGTGGTCCCCACCATAGATGTGTCTGCACCCCAGTATCCACCAGTGAACACTGGATAGTATCTAGACACACCTGTGGTAATGACCCAGGTAGCTCCTGGAGTACACAGTGAGCAGAGACCAAGGATGCTGGTCCACACCCTGTAGGGCTCAGCACACCCACCCCAAAAAGACCTGATCCACAGCATCCTCAGCACCCACAGTACTGAAGGGTACGAAAAAGCAGCCTGCAAGCTTCTGAAGCAGCCCCACCCCCAGAGGCCCCCAGACACTCACTGCCCACTGGCGCCAGGCACTCACCGGAGGTGCGCTGTAGCTGGCGTGGGGGTTGTTCTGGATCTCCCAGAGCCCCTCATTGAAGCCTTTCCTCTTGTTGGGCTTCCCGTACTTGTCCTTGCACTTGTCATAGGGGAACAGGTCCTTGGGTCCCAGGAAGGCCCTGAAGGAAGGAGCCACAGGCCAGGTCCAGGTGAGCCAGGGCACCCTGGGAAAGAAACCATCCTGTGGGGTGGACACTTACGTTTCGTGTGTTCCAAAGAAGAAGATGGGGTATTTGTTGGGTGGGGGCTTCACAGCACCGTCGGCGATGTCATCGATCTGTAGTGAGAGGCAGGTGGTTAGGGGGCTCCTGGTGAGGGCCAGGAAACCTCCACTTACTTGGGGGGAAAAGCACACCCTGGGGATACAGAGCACCTTCCAAACACAAGTCTGGAGGTCTGAACTTAGGCCCACTAAACTAGTTCCTTAGCCCCTTAATTTGGCATTAAAAAAAAAAAAAATGAGCCAGTCTCGCTAGGTAGCCCTGACTGTCCTGGAACTATGGAGACCAAGCTGGCCTCAGACTGTTTTTGCCTCCCAAGCAGTGGGCGTTGAGATTAAAGGTACTCCCTGCTTGCCTGTCTGCCACTCACAGTGATTCTCTCTGCCAAGAAGAAAGCTGGGCTCCCTGACAGGTACTTAACCTGAGCCAGGCCCAGAATGGCCCCCTGAAGCCCCCGGGGTGGGCATAGGCTCAGCTTCTCCCCGTCTCTAGGTCTCCCCTCACAACCGCCCCTACTGCAAAAAGGTCAGATCTGCTCTTGCCCTAGAGGTGGAGCTGGCAGCTCCAGGGATGCAGAGGATGGGGGGTGGGCTGCAGGAGCAAGGCCCAGAGCATCCCGGAAGTCCCACCCTCTTCATGCAAGCCCATGGGCTCCGGCAGCTGTCAGTCACCTTCCCCAAAGGAGGCTAGCAGCCCCTTCCCTTCCAATCAGGTGCTTGGAAATGTTCTCTCTGTGCTGGAGGAGGCTGGGAAGGGGGAGGGCACAGGAGCTTCGCAGAGAGCAGAGCTAGACTAGAGAGAGCAGTGGCGACTGCAAAGTTTTGTCCCTCAGTGTCCCCTCTCACAGTGGGATTCCCAGCCAACACCCGCCAACACCCGGGGGACTGCTGGGTCCTTCCTGGCCTGCACCCAGCATCATCCCTCACTTCTCTTTAGTCCTACTAGTTTTGTGGTCCCTGGTGGCTGGATGCAGGAAACCCTATGTACGAGCATCCTCAAGCCAGACTGGCTGGCCCCTCTCCCAATGGTCTCACACCTCAGAAAGCCAACAGCTCTCTGGTCTTGACCTAGGAGCCACCTCCTGAGCTGGTTCCCGCTCGGCTTGCTCTTGGGCATCCCCATGGCAACTCCCTGCTGTCTGGCCTTTCACCTCCACCCCCATGCAGTCCCCCCATGAAGACACAGCCAACCTTGGCCTCTACACTAAGACTTGGAGGCAACAAAACTCTGTCTCTATGCAACTGGATTTGTGCACCAGGGCCTGGAACGCCAGCCACCATCTGCACAACCCAAAATTCCTTCAGTCCTGCCACATGGATGACAACTTCAGCCTTGGAGTGGTCCCTGCCCTAAGTCCTGGGGGGCAACTGAAGCCTTTGGGTCCCTGTGTATATGTCCTCTCGCCAGGGCCAGAATTCTACAACCTGTGCACCCCAAGCTCCAAACATTTACACTCCTGGGCCGCAGCCTCCTCCAGTAGGAAACCCTAAAGCCTCTGGCCCCAGCCTGAAGTTGCCTGTTCCCAAGTCAGCCACCCCACTAAGTCCCTTTAAGGGCCTGGCTCCAGGTCCCAGAAAAGACTTCTTCCAACCTCTGTCCCCATTCTCCTCCCATGACCTAAATGGAGATGGGGTCCCCTCCTCTGGGGCTGCGTTCTGCTCCTCCAGCCTTCACGTCATCTTTAGCGCCTGGGAGAAAGACTCTCCCCATCATGTGGCCCTTCCACTCCAATCCCAAGGTGCCCATGAACCCCTCAGGCCCCACGACGCCCCACGACACCCCTCAGGCTGCACGATCCTGGGACCCCCCAAACGCACTTCTAGACTCGAGTACATTGGTCTCTCAGGTCCTGGACCCCAGACCCAGTGACACCGGTTCCTGAGGTCAAGGATAGCTCACCACAGCCGTTCCCTGCAGGACTGTGCGTCTCTGAGGCTCAGGACCTCACCGGGCAGGTCACTCAGACTGAACTGCCATACCCTAGCCCCGAGGGACCGTGGGTCTCAGGGCCGGGACCCGGCACCGCAGCCCACAAGTCCCTCAGACTTAGGGACGGCCCCGAAGACCCTCCAGACCCCAGGCACTGTGGCCCCTGAGGAGGGCGACCCTCAGCTTCCAGAGGGCCACCGTGCAGCCGCCTCAGCCCGCAGCCCCAACCTCTCCTCAGCCTCCCCTCGGCCTCCATTCCAGCCTCCCTGCGCGCGCCCGCGGCCCCTCCGCTCGGGGCGGCCAACTCCGCCGGGCCCGTCCCCGCGCGGCCTCACCCGGGCCGGCCAGTGCGGGTAGCCCTTCATCTTGGCGAACACCAAGTCCCCGGGCTTGAAGGCGTGCGGCATGCTGTCGGCGGAGGGCCAGGCCGCGGGAAGCAGCAACGGCGGCGGTGGGAGGCGAAGCCGGAGGCGGGAGTCGGACGCCTGAGGGGCGGAGGCGTCCGCACGGGCCGCCGGCCGGCGCCTACTTATTGGGTTCGGCGCTCCCGGAAGTCCCACCCTCCCTTCGCCATGGGCCGCCGTCGCCGTCGCTCATGACCACAGAGAAGCGCGGGGACCAATAAAGGGAGGGGTTGGAGCCGAGTTAGTTAACGGGATTGGATAACGGAGCAGGAGTTCAGGGCGTGGCCTAGGGGCCAGGGGGCGGGGTGGAGGTTGTGGGACGTAAAAGACCAGCGGCCCAAGGGGCTACAGGGCGGAGCCTGGAGAGGAATGGTGGGGCGGGGCTTGGAGTGGGACGTTGTCAGGATTTGGGGCGGGGCGAAGGGGATCAGATTAATTAGGCACGGAGACGGGGCGGGGCTTCAATAGGAGTGGGGGCGGGGCCTAGGAGCGGGATGTGGCCGTGGCCTCTGGGGTCACTGGGAGGGGTGGAGGTGAAAGGAAGAGGGAAACGAGTGACAAGAAGCGATGGGGCGGGGCCTAGGAAGGGCGGGACTTAAACAACCATACTGTACAAGCTATTGGATGACATCCGATAAAATGTACCCAATCAGCGTAGAAGACAGATTATTGACAGCCTAACAGAAGGAAGCGCTCTGGCTGCACCTCGACCAATGGCTGACAAGAGAACAGGTTCAACGGGGCCCATCAAAGACCCGCCGAGAGTTGGTGGGGAAGGGGCGGGTCTGGAAAGGGAGGGGGCAGACTCTCGGTTTATTTTAAAATTTTGTTATGTTTATTTTTTTTGTTGTTTATAATAGGTTTTCATTTTATATTCATAACATCTTTATGCTTGGGAATTTTATAACTTATTTATTTGTATTCTTATTTTATTTTATTACTTGGAGACAGGATCTCATTCAGCAGCCCTGATTGGCCTGGAAATCTATGTAGATCATGCTTGCTTCGAACTCACAGAGATCTTCCTGCCTTTGCCTCCGGGTCATGGGATTAAATGTGTATGCCACCACGCCTGGCCTTATTTTTATTTCTTTTTTTTTTTAATGCCGAATGCCGTTTATTGAAGGAGGGAGGTCTTAAGTACAGGCTTACAGCACAATGGGAGAACCCCGGAGAGTAGAAGTTCACTACCAATGTTTTACAATCTTGCATCTAAGCTATTCATGCCCATTATGCAGGATACATAGACAAGGAACTTCCCTTAAGAATTTATTTCTTAAATTAAAAAAAAAAATCTGTGTGTGATATGTGTGGGCTTGCAAGTACATGCCACAACACATGTATGGAAGTCAGAGGACAGCTTTGTGGAGCCAGCCAGCTCCTTCACCTGAGGCCTGTGGGACACGTAATTCATTCCATTTTTATTTTTATACTGTATCATTTTTAAATTAAAAAATTTCATTTTATATATATGGATGTTTTGCTTGAATGTATGTATGCACCTGCATGTCTGGTGCCCGAGGAGGCCAGAAGAAGGAGATGGATCCCCTGTCTCCCAGGAATAAACTGAAAAGTGAGGCCACCCATTCTCCCCCTCTGGTCTTTGATAATGGACATGCACACCCTCATGTACCATATGTGCACATATACTGCATGCACACATGCACACACACACACACACACACACACACACACACACACACATTTGTTCTGCTGGGGTGACACATAACTGTCATCTCAACACTTGGGAGGTAGAGGCAGAAGGATCAGAATTTCAAGGCCAACCTAGGCTACGTGATGTCCTCTCTCACACATATATATTGGGGGACTTGGTGGTGCACATACATGGTCCCAGCACTCATGAGGTAGAGATAGGCAGATCTCTGTGAGTTCAAGACCAGCTTGGTCTCCACAGTGAAACCCTGCCTCAAATTAAAAAAACAAAACAAAACAAAAACAAAAACAAACCAAAAAACCAAACAAACCAAAAAAGCGTATATCTACAAACTTTTTTTTTTTTTTTTTTTTTTTTGAGACAAGGTTTCTATGTGTACCTCTGGCTGTCCTGGAACTCTGCAGAGCAGGCTGGCCTTGAATCAGAGATCTGCCTGCCTCTGCCTCATGAGTGCCGGAATTAAAGGTGAGTGCCATCACTACCCAGCTCCCCGTCCCCCAAGAACTAAAGCATCACGACCTGGAGCATTTCCTAAGTACTTCCCAGCTGCCTTCCTCAGGGTGCTCCACTCCTGTCCCACTATAGTTCTTGGACCAGAGTCCTCCACAGATGTCTTAAATCAATGGCTTCCCTGCTGCCCTCCAGCTACTGGGTCCTTTGTTTCCTTGAGGTCACCATGTTGTTCCATCTCCTTAGCTTCGTGCATCTTGGCCAAAGCAGTGAGATTACTAACAGAGCCCGGATAGCACCAAAGCCGCTGCACCCCGGACAGTTTCACACCAGCGCAGATGAAGGCTTGCTCACTGCCACCTCAGGTACACGGTCCACTGACTGCAAACTCTAGTAGCTCGAGACCACAAGGCCATGTGCATTAGGGCAGAAATGCATACACACAGCCTGCCGGGAGGTGCAGGAGGGAGGGGCTCGAATCTCAAGTGAGCGTCCTGTAGCCCACTCCATCTTTCTGATGAGTGACCATCAACAGTAAAGTATTTGATTTGGGGGGTCTCTTGCACATAGTCACAGTGGTCCTGATGCAGATTTACACGAATAGTGGTGTTCTACAATGCCTGAGCCCACAGCATCCATCTTTTTTGTTGAGTGTGCACACCACACCAGATGGAAGTGTTGCAGGAGATTAAACTCAGGCTTCCCACATGCTGAGCAAGCGCTGGACCAACATCCCAGTAGAGCAGTTCCAGCCAGCTTTGACCTCGCCTGCACCAATCCCTGGACCTCCCAAAAGGTAGTTCATGCTCCCATCACGCTCCTTTTCTCTGTAGCCCAGGCTGGCCTTAAACTCTTGACATCCAGCCTGGTTTCCATAGCGCTGGGTACGTTTCCAGGCTGCGAGGCGGCTGTGGTGTTCTCTAGCGCCCCCAGGCGGCACGTTGAGGTCCTGAGGAAGGCGGGCCCGTTGCCCTGGCAACGGCGTCGGCAGACAGGAAGGCGGCGCCTCGCCCGCGAGGTGCGTGCAAGGCTATTGTCACGTGCGCGCGGCGGGACTTCCGGCGCCGCGATATTTTCTTTCCGGTGGTTGGCCGCCTGCGCCTCCCAACGCGGGCCCTGCGCCCCCGCCGCGCGGCCCTCGCCGCCGGGCCGCCGCCGCCATGAAGAAGTTCTTCCAGGAGATCAAGGCTGACATCAAGTTCAAGAGCGCGGGGCCTGGCCAGAAGCTCACAGACTCCGCGGGGTGCGTGACGCGGGCTGGGCGGCGCGGATGGCAAGGACCAGGGAGCGGGAAGGGCTGGCGGGGCGCCTGGGACACCGGACAGGCGATGCTGAGTGGGAGCCGATGGGAGGGCGGCGAGGTGGGCGTGGCCGAAGTGGCGGGGCGTGGGCGTGGCCTAAGAGGAGGGCGGGGCGCCGTGTAGTGGAGGTGGGCGGGGCCGGTGGGCAAGGAGTAGTGGTCTCAGGCCTGGAGACTCCTGGTCCCGGCTGGTGAGAAGGGGCAGGGCGATGCCAGGGGCTGGGTGGAAGAACCTCGGGGGCGGGGCCCGGGCGGGACCGGAGGGGGGTGTTGAGGGCAGAAGGGAGACAGAGATTGACTCCTTTGCAGGGGGTGTGGAGTGTGGTTGAGGGCGGGCAGGGCTGGGATGTGACACTCTGGAAGGGACTGGGGAGGGAGAGGGAATGGGAGGGTCTTGGAGGAGTGTGGCGGCCAGAGGACCCCAGACTGTTGGTGAGTGTGGTTGGGGTGCATGCACCTAGCAGGCTCTGGGGGGAGGAGGAGGAGGTGGGATCGCAGGAGGATCGGAGGTCCCGGAGAGCTGTGTGTGCTGAAGAGGGAGGTGAGGCTTGGGTGAGTGGCGAGTGGGATGCTGGAGCTGCCCGGAAGGGGTGGGGTGGGGTGGAGAATGGAGACAGCTACAGGCTTCCAGAGAGAAGTCTATAGGGCTGTGCAAGGAAGTATGGAAGGTGGACTCCATGACAACCAGGAGCTGGGGGTCGGAAGGAGGAGGGGCCTGGAGGCCAGGGCTAGAAGGGAGGTGGGCAAACCAGGGGTCCAGCCAGGAATAGTGGGGCCGCTCCCATGGTGGAGATTGACAGGGGAGGGGATGGTGTCTGGAGGTCCAGTGTCTGTGATCTATGCACCTCTTTGCAAGATGGGAGTCCCAGAACACTATTCGGGTCCCCATGTCTGTTTAGGGAGAAGAACCCCAAAGAAAAGTCACCACAGGTGTCCCTCCGGCAGCCTCGCCAGGGCCCCACTGATGAGGCGCAGAGGGCTGCGGCTGCTGCCCTAGCCCGGCTGGAACAGAAGCAGCCCCGAGCGCGGGGCCCCACATCTCAGGACTCCATCCGGAACCAGGGTGAGTTCTGTTCTGGGTGGCACCTGGGGTGAGGTTAAACGTCCACAGAAGGCAGCGGTGTGTCCAGTTGAGACAGGTGACACGGGTGGTCCTTGGATGGGGACTTGGAGTAGAAGAGCAGGGACCAGGTCTCCCTCCACTCCTTGGAGCTTTGGCAGGGAGGGCTTCTAGCTCTCAGGCCAGTGTTGTCCCCCACCCCCCATGGAGAGCGGTGGGTGTGGCTGAGCCTCCGGGTTCAGGCTGAGGTCCTCACTCTTTCCCCCATTACACCCTCCCACTCCCAGTGAGAAAGGAACTTCAGGCCGAAGCCACCTCCAGCAACAGCCCAGGGGCTCCCGGGACCAACTTGGTACGGTATCTGCTGGGGACCGCCCAGTGCTCTGGGGCAGTGTGGAGGCAGCTGCTGCCCGGGGAGGGAGAGCCTCTTGCAGAGCCTGGCGTGAGCAGCACCTGCGGCAGTGGGGAGACAGACCCTTGGACTGAGGGGTGATGGCCGTGGGCCTGTGTGTCCAGCTGCAGGAGCCTCCTATTCTGTCTTGTCTTCAGGTACCTGAACCCAAAGAAGAAATCTCTCCCCACCTGGCAGTGCCTGGTGTGTACTTCATCTGCCCGCTCACAGGTGT